TAAAATCATTTTTCCATTTCAAACGATCTAATTTCTTTGATAAGAATCGAAACTACCAATATGAGCAAAATGATCAAATTTCACAGATTTATAAGCATAGAGATTTCGAACAATTCTTCGTAAAATATATAAACGAAAACCTAGTGTCCTTTATTGCATTGAAATTATCTTTTTACTTCAAACAACCTAGTCTGACATGAGTTTTCAGTCGATATTTGAAAAAAAAAAAAATTTTTAAATCCAGTGTTAACTATTTACATATATATTGCAAACTTTATATATTACTACATATTTTGTAATATATATATAAAATTATATTAATAATTATAATATATTAAAAACATATTAAAAATATATTTAAATAAAATAATTTTAATATTATAATATATTTTAATATACATTTTAATAGTATAATATATTAAAAATATATTTAAATAAAATAATTTTAATATAATATACCAAAACATAATTACTAATAATATAATACAATTATTTAATAATATATTTCTTTTTTATATATTATTACATTGTTACTATTATATAATATTGTAGTCACGTTGCTGTATTGTAATTCTCTACGTAAGAACGGTTGTCAAGACCAATATCGAATCAAGAACGCCGAATCGAAGGGTGAAACCGCTGATGTTTCCGTGAGCGTCAATGACCCACTCGAATTCGGCCAACAAGCACGTCGAAAAAAACGTGACGCCTGCCCCTGTTCGTCGCGTTTAACGACGAAACGAAGCGCCTGTCTCCACACGCGAACGAATGACGTGGACGGATGTCGAACTGAATTGGCGCAATGACCATAACCAGGGTCTAACGCGGCGACGGATGGATGTGCGACCTTTTCCTTTGCCGTTTAAAAGAATCGAGCCGAGCGGAACGAAACACGAACCGGTGGTGGCTCGTTCCACACGAAGGAACATGGCTACCGCGCGCTATCGCTGCGCTGCCAGTCTCTCTCCTCGTCCCACTCGACGAACTTCGATTCCTAGTGAAAAGCGTGACGAAAGGACTTGGTCGCAGAAATTCAGGAAACGTCGCATTTAAACGTGCAAGAAATTACCGCGAGTTCGCGACACGCGTTCCTTTTTTTCCTCTGTAAACCAGTGCGAAATAGCGAAAAGACGAAAGCGCGAATTAGCTCCGACGGTACCGCGAACGTTTATTTATTTTTTTTTCAAAAAAAAAATTTGCAATGAGATACATAGCGAAGAAAAGTTTAATCGTTCACTTTCTTTTCTTGAGGTAATTTAGAAACCTTTCTATGTAATATATAATTTTTAAATGTAGATATATAAAATATACTCATAACGTAACGTGAAATGAATTTTGAAATGCATATTCTACGAACGTGCACGAGCTACGAACTTTTCATAAAAATGCTTGTCAAGAAAAAGAAAGACGACAGTTAGAAAACGAGATGAACTTTTACTTTCGCATTTTTCTTTTTCTCGCACGTACACCAAAAGTGCGCAGCTAATTTATCAAAGCAAAGGAACTGGAAGATTGATCCTAATCGCAGAAACGCAAACGCGTATGTCCAAGCAATCGAACGAGCAGAGAAATGGAGGAACGAATGCGGCTCCGTTCGAAATGAATGTCTCATACACTCTTCTCTCGTTTAGATCCCGTTATCCGAGCGGCAGCACGTCGAGGATAATAGGGTCATAGCAATCTACCCCGTCGCGTCCTTGTCTCTGCGCTTCCACACCAGCGCAATAACGTCACATTTTTCTAGTTCAGCGACCATCTTTATCCGCTGAAATCGGCCGCGCTGCCGCCGCGTATCGTCGACGAAACTTTTCGTCTCAGGTGTGTTAAAAAAAAAAAAAAAGAAAAAGAAAGAAAAAAATTGAAACAGCGCGCCAAATTTTGCAACTTTTGAATTACAATTCTTCCCTGTGACTCGCAACATTTCTCCAAAATATCGGACATCGTCGATCGAAATATCGTGAAATATCGAAATGTCGCCTTCGTCGTTTAATCCTCCATTTTCACAACGAAAGCGGCAAATAGAAATTCAAATGCACGCTACATACGGCCGTTTTTCCTCTCGGGAGATTTATTTTAATCCCAGGCTTCATTCTGAATTTACGCGCATTCAGAATTTTCTCATGGTCTACTACAATACCATTGAGATTCCTGATGCATAGCAACAGAACAAAGGAACCGTCAAGACTGTATCAGAGGCTGGTGCCTGCGTCGTTCTCTGGCCATTTTCTCGAGAGTTGCATACCTTTCTACTGACGCTTTCTCTGCTTCCGAGATTATAAAAATACGAGCGAGCATTTTCCATGCCGGGGAATGTTTCTTTTTCTATACGGCCGTGTGACTACGTACGGCAGATATCGATACGTAAACATTCGTCAGCATTGAATGACGTTCAAATGAATCTGAAACAATGCCATATATTGCGGCATGCAGTACGGCTTGAACTGACGTCAGAATTCTTCAACTGCTAATTGTCTTCCAAGTTGTTTATTTCACATGAGGAGAAACTTCCATATATTGATCAAAAAAGACTGGAATATTTCGCACCAAGACACATGACGTTTTCATAAAAACTATGAATCGTTAATTTTGAACCATCAATCAAAATTCCACTTGAAAAGGAACACTTTGATTTTATACGTTTGGGTTCAATTTCTTCTCATTATTTTTTTTTCTCTCTCTTTTCAGTAAACTGATAATGCAGAGACAAGCTACACAACTTTTGGAGTTCTCCTTCTTTCTTTGTAATGTACAAATTTACAAAAGCAGTGGCCAGCTAACGAACCTCGTAACGTTACGATCAAATACAAAGCAAGAACATTTTCATGTTCTAGGAAGTTGCGTAAACCAGAATTAATTAAATTATTATCAAAATCGTTAGCGTAGCACTGCACATCAAAGAATCATTTGCCTCGACAGCGTAATGAAATAATTGCGTAGCTATTACTGCCGTTTCAACGTGCGCGTTCGTACAAACACGATCATCAGTGAGATCATTGTTTCTCATCAGCCACGTATGTATTATACTTATAGAGAAACGAGAAAACGTATGCAACTCGACTGATTTGTAACATGTGCTGGACTGGACTGCGGATATTTACGCACTGTGTTTGTGGGAAATTTGAAAACGTAGAAATACAGAAAATGCACATAATGTTTCTATCAAAGATAATTTTAAATTTCACTCTTTAATTGTATCCATAAACATATAACTTTGAACAGAAATATTTTTTAAAAAACCAAGTATCTTGTACAAAAATGTAGTCATTCAGCCAAGAAAGTTCCGATTTGTTAAATTACAAATAGATCAAACGATTTTCATTCCATTGAGCGAGTAAAAGTAATTTTAAATTCCGTTTCGTAATTGTATTCATAAAGGTGTGACTTTGAATGAAAATATTTTTAAAAACAAACGTATCTTGTATAAAAATTTGGTCATTGAGCCAAGAAAGTTTTTGTCTGTTCAATTACAAATAGATCAAACGATTCCAGAAGTAATTTTAAGTTCTATTCTTCAATTATATTATTATCATTTTTTATTATTCTATTTATAATAATATGACTTTGACTGAATAAAAGGTATCTTGTACAAAAATGTGATTATTTAACCAAAAAAAGAAAAAAAGTTTTTGTCTGTCAAATAAAACAGATATGAAATTTTGCGATATGTATATATATTCTTAGAATAATGTTAGTCAATACCCGCTGGATCTCATTACTGTATAATTGTTTTGTAACAAGCGCTCGGGTATATCGTGCTTATATATTGGTTGCGATAATAAACAACATTTCCACGAAATAAAGGACAGTGATTAACTGCGTTGATGATCTACAATATACGCATCATTGTGATTTCTGCGATCACCGGAATTTACCAGCCATGACACTGTTATTATTGCAGACTAAATTTTAGATAAAACAGAGCAGAATTATTTGATGGTGTTTAACAATTAAAATGGTGTTAAACCGGTGTTTAACAATTCTGTCAGCATAGTCTACGCGTATGATTAAACTCCAAAAATGTAGATCGTTTAAAAATTGCACTGAAAAAGGGACAATACTTCAGACTCGAATTGCATTCTATTGGATTGTTATGAACAACTCCGAACAAGAAAAATATATCAAATTATCAACAGACACAGCGAGTGAACCGATACAAAGAATTGATGGAGAAAAATCTTTATTAATATCGGTTCTATACTGTAGTATTTCAAACGAATACTTTGGAACATTTCTATTTCTACTCGTTAACAAATACAAAAGAATCTGTGAAGCTAATGTTTCAACAATATTTAAACAGAACTTGTAATATCTTATAATATCGAGTCGCACTCATTACAACTTCGATTTGAAAGAAAACTCAAACCGCGATCCTACGAGAAAGTTCGAAATTCGAATATTTTAAACTTAATTTCTTTGAAACATTAAGCAAATAATCTTAAAATTAAATAATAATTTCAAATGATTCATTTAGAGCATTTCAAATAATTTCTTTAGAGTAAATAATAATTTTAAACTTAATTTCTTTAGAGCACTTTACACCGAGAACAATGTTAAAATTACAATGTATAATTCTTACTCAAAAGGATTGGAAAGAAAATCACGAAGCAGGTGAACTAAGTGCACTTTATATAGAACAGATAAAATAAAACACTTGTTAATTATACGTTATAACAAGTTACATGAATAGGAACAAAATTAATTCCTGCAATTGAGAATTTTCGAAATGCCAAGTATCAATCGTGAAGCAAGAGGTTAGCTAAGTGCACTTTATATAGAACAGATATAATAAAAAAAAAAAACCCTCTGTTAACACGTATATCATAACAAATCAATTGAATCTTGCACATTTTCGTCAGCTCGAAACGCTGAAGCAAGTATCAATCTCGCGGAACCTTCGAATTGTTCCACGACGTATATATATATATTTCCCGAAACCGGTTTCTAACGACGTCGGCCGAAATAACAAGTGAAAAAAAAGAGGAGTGGAAGAGAAAACGTACCGAGCAGAGTTATCGCCGACGAACTGCGACTTCTCGGTGTGAAACGGCGTGCCAAACGTCATAACCGAGCAGGTAGGCAAACGAGGCTGCTGTCGGTTCTTCGAGTTCCTGCCGGTCCTCAGTCGATTTTCGTTACCGGCCGAGTCCCCGCGGCCGCCGAACAGTTCGGCTAGTCAGCTGATCGCGCGATGCTTCATCGCTTCGCTCACCGTGCGCATTATCGCTGGAATTGCTTCCTTTCCAGCTATCCTCTCGCTCTCCGCGCGATTCCCGGCTGTCGCTGCGCCGCGAAACAACACGACAAGGCAACACCACACGTCCAGATCGTACGTTACGCGCGTACGTTCGACGTTAATCGAATCGGGGGCCAATGCTCAACTTTCACAGACGGGCGCGATATGGATTGTACACTTGTCCCTGTGTGCGCGTGAGCCTTCGAAACACTAAATTCCCGGATCCGAGCCACTAAATTCTACCTGCCTGCCGGATAGATGGATGGGTAGCGCTCTGTGGGCACAACAGGTCGCTCTGCGTGCCCTGTTGCACCGTTCTCCCGCTCCGATTATATCACCGATATCTTCAGGCGTATCGAGTATCGAGAAACTCGTCGGAGCAAACGTCAGAGTGGCGAGATATTCTCCGCACGGTCAACACACCAAAGTCACGGGTAACGGTACTCAGGCGCGGTCGGTAAAACACAAATCACGCGCGGAAATTTAACGAAGCGACGACACTGTAAGTGCAACGACCCGTCGTCCCGTCACTCGTTCCCCCTCGGTGTTCGCAGGCGATTCGGGGATCGCGCGACCGTTTCGAAAAAACGTTCGAACTTTTAACACACAGTGGCGAACTGAACGCAGCCCAGGAGCAGCAGCCGCGAGCGCAGAATTGACGATTCGTGCGAGCCCGTACGTGTGTGAAAAGCACGAGCAGCCCGACGAAAACCGATCAGGGCCGAGTCGAGCCGAACGGTCGAGAACCTGCTCCTGTCGCGTCTAGCATCCGACTGGCACGGACGAGAGCTGCCCATCGCCTCCCCTCTCTTACACCCTCCCCCCGCCCCTGGCGCAACCCGCGAACGCGCCATCGCACTACATGTCACTATCCTCAACCCTCTGCAACTCGGACATCGGAGGACGTATCTCGAAGACGCGTCAAGTAGCTCCTTTTTCCAGTTTGTCTCTTTCCTTTTTCCATCCCATAGTGGAGCCGACTCAACGCGGAAAATATGGGAAGCTCGAAGCGCGAAGATCCATAATATTAGCAACGCGGTGTAGTTTGTAACATCTACTGTATCTGTGTATCTCAGTATCTGCAGTTACTGTATCTGTAACTTTTATTAAAAGTGTATAAAGTCTGTTAGGACTGAAGCGTAGAATTGAACGCAAAAATTGATTTGCATTTTCTTTTTCTTTCTTTGTCTATTTAGTTTTATCTCTGTAACTGCAATTACCTTTGAATGACAAACAAGTATAATTTTTGTCGACTTCGAAGTGAGGGTTAAAAAAACTAACGAATCGTGATTTTTTTTTTTTTTATACTAGTTCTGGAAGTACAGGGTTTGCCCAAATTCGTCGAAAATGAAATCGTTATGTCCAAACACGGAAATAGGGAAGAAGCTTTCGGAAGAAATTAAAAAAAAACAAAACAAAGAGCATTATGTCAAGAAGTTATTGAGAAAAGATACAAACAAAAACTCAATAAACTTTTTTTTATCTCAAGTTCCAATTCCGGGGCTGTAGCACACCGACGAAAGTCGACTAAAATAAAGAGGCCTGATTACAATGGAATTCAGATGATTCGAATGAAGAATTATCTCCGAGGAATCACAAGATTTTATCAGAATCAGAATCGGAGTAGAATTACTAATAATTATTTTTATAAAAAATATTTATTTTTGTAAACAATTATTTAAAAAACATCCAACAAACATTGATGCAAGCAGATAATAAATTCTTTTAGGAAAATTCTCATTCAGAGAGGAATTTTTATTTTTTCGCCACCTTCTTGTATCGAATCCCTTTCACCTTTCTCCTCTCCTCCGAGCGTAAATATAGTTAGATGAATCACGTCACTGGGAGTTATACGATCACAATTTTCGTCACTTTTTTCATAACGTCATCCCGTGTTATCTGCATCATTTTTACCAAAAATATTCTCATTTCTCGATGTATATACACACACACACACACGACTGTTTTATTATTATATTGAGTTGCCGAATAAACCTTAAAGTTTTCTAGCGTCACGCTATTCTATTGTCAACTATAATTTATAACATAAACTCAATACTTCAACTAGAATTTATAATATAAACTCAGCAAGCCAATATCGATATTTATCAAGAACATAACCGCAATTACAGAGATAATGACATTTCGTTAAATATCGACCGTACGTGAAAATAGACGTAGTATTTAATCATCACGGCCTTATTATATTCCGCACAGTTGTACCGATCACAATGGCGCTATGAATGTTGCAAATTGCACGTTGCGCACGAAGATACATACGTGCACACCAGGAAAGTCGGTTTAACGTCACGCAAAATCGTCAAAGTACACGGGAGTTTGAAGTATCGTTGCATGTGGATATGTATCCGAATGGAAATCACATGATGTTTCTCTGTCGTCGAACGTGGAACGAACGCGGGATAATAGGCGCGAAATAAAAATAGGACGATACCAGGCGCACGGTTGTAGAAATGTTTAATCGCTCAAAGCGCTTCGCGGGTCCTTTGGAGCTTGCAGTTTTCTTGCAGAAGCCTGGAGCTTCGTCTGTCACCGTTCCTCCTCTGCCTTTTGTTGCCACGTTTCAAAGGAACGGTGTTATTCAGGAAATGGCAATAAAAGGGGCGCATTGATTTGGGCGGAACGCACGAGCCACGTCTATGTACGCGGACGAGGAAAGAAAAGAGCAGCAGCCTCCAAGAAGAATGTCTAACGCCGAGTGGCTGCTGTTTCTTTATCAGCCAACTTTGCAAGTTCTACAGCATCGTGTACAGTTGTAACAATAAGCTAAGAAGAATGTCTAACGCCGAGTGGCTGCTGTTTCTTTATCAGCCAACTTTGCAAGTTCTACGGCATCGTATACAGTTCTAACAATAAGCTAAGAAGAATGTCTAACGCCGAGTGGCTGCTGTTTCTTTATCAGCCAACTTTGCAAGTTCTACAGCATCGTGTACAGTTGTAACAATAAGCTAAGAAGAATGTCTAACGCCGAGTGGCTGCTGTTTCTTTATCAGCCAACTTTGCAAGTTCTACAGCATCGTGTATAGTATCTGACAATAAGCACGACAGTGGAGAGAATGTGGCTCTTTTTCTTTTGGCATTCTTCGCTCAATCATCCGTGAACACTCTGCATGGTTCAAAGTTAATTCTTCAAGTTAGGCAGATACTATTTAGTTCACGAGAAACAAACGATTCACTTTTCCAAGTGAAGTTCATTTACCTTGAGAAAAGTTAAGAAACGAGTAATAAATACGATAAATTCTGAAATATACAGGGTGGGCCAAAAATCACTGTTGAAATAAATAAATAAATAATAAATAATTTCTCTGAAAGAAATAACTTTTTTAAAACATAATAAAAACACTCATGTTTGAATTTAGATTTAATTTAAGATTGATAAAATTAGTTTTTTTCTCATATTTTGATGTTGTGTTTAAAAAAAATAAGTGGGGAGGCTTTTTAGGTCACCCTATATTTAAGAAAAAATCTTGTGGTGGTATGTAATATTATCGTTTCTCTATGCTTTTTAATTATTTATGGAGCTGGGCGATGTTTCTGAACGACTTCAGGTCTTCCTCTTCTGGCGACGATATTAATTTTACGAGATTCAATATACATTTTATCAAGTACTACGTTTGATTACGTTTTATCAGATGACTGCAAAGAAGAACGAGCAATAGCTCGAGAAATTAAAAATTAGTACTCGGTATTAAATTTCGTTGCATATTTCACGTTTCAAAAAATTCCAGTTCAGATATTTTTAAAACGGCTTAAAAATTTAACCCATTTAATATCGTGACTTCATTTCACCGAGGAATTTTCTGGGCGAAGTAGAAAAGTGAATTTTTGCTCGTACTTGGTACGAACGCAAAAAAAACTCCTGGTGCGTATTCCAATTTTTTGTGAAAACGAAAATGAACACCCGATGTTACACAAATTATTCACAAATAAATCATTACAGTGACAACGTAAGAGAGATAGAGAGAGAGAAAATTTACAATACAGTAATAACAAATAAAACTTTTCCCCTTTCATTCGAAAAATTAATCGCTGGACAGAATTTTTTAACTGAAACGAAAGATTTTGCGAATTTTCATCACTTGGCGAGACTGGGGAAAAAAAAAAAATCATCAGTCGCACGATGATGAAAAAGGCTAAAAATCTAATTCGATCGAAAGTTACAATTAAGAAGTGATTTTACCATCATACAAAGTGATTTTTGCAGAAACACCAGAACCACCGTAAGAAGGTTTCTTGAACGTTTATGATATTAATTCCAGTGAAAATTGCAGAACGCCAGAACGTCTTCTTTGTAAAAAGTAGGGCATCGTTAATTTACAGCGTACGACGTTACCTTTTGTGCGCGAAGACGAGCAGATCCTTACCCTCGCGTTTCTTCAATTTAAATAAAATCCCCGGAGTATTAAGTCCGAAGTCGACATTTTGCGTATTTGCTACGCTCCATTTTATTACCGAATCCCCCGATGAAATACACTCGTAACGCATTCGCGATGCAAAAGCGGCTGCTTTTGATTCGAATCGAAGACAGGATTTAATTGCTTCGTCGTTTCAAAAGGACAAAAAGGACCGGTCTTTTTGAATGGAGAATCGCCGTCTTTTGGAAGAAGAATTGGCAGTGAGTCGTGCAGACTTCAAATTTTTTACTTTTACGAACACAACTAACTAAACAGTGAACTCACTGGTTTGTTGCTAATTTATTGATTCGTTTACTATATGATAATTTACAACTTGTTTCACTAATCACTCCTAATAATATTATTAATTTTACTGATATTATAATATTATTATTATTATTAATATATTATTATTATTAATATATATATTATTATATTGTTATTATTATTACTATTAATACTTAACTAATTTATTAACTTGATCCCGATAAAAGTTAAATTTGAAAGAAGAACATTTTGCTACAAAAATATTCCACATACATCAATTCATTGCAACTGAGACACATAAATTCATCCAATTATGTCATTCTGTTCAAAACGAAATCAATATTAATCTTGACAGAAAAACATCCATGTCGTTCGAGAAACTGTAAAAATCTCAAATTCCTCCGTATCTGTCGGATTATCAATAAAAAAAAAAAGGCGAAGTGGAAGCTGCGCGACTCTCAACTACGTCAGAATAAAAATAATGTTTAAAAATCGTGTGTATTATAGTTCTCGGAGTGCGTGGACCGTATCACGCGCAGTCTCGGAGTAATTCGTTGACGTTGAGAAAACTTATCGATGACGCGCGCTTCCCGCATCCTCTGTCAAACGTTCCACGTCAGATCGTTAGTCCCAACGCGGCCGACGTAATTCCACGAAGCCCGACCTACCCCGAGATAGGAAAGATATTTCTGAAACCAGTGAATGAACGATCGATAAGCCGGCTCGACAGGTTGAAGGATCCAGCGATTCTAAAAATTACCATGGAGGGAGGAGGAGGAGGAGAAAGTTAAATCAAGCTGAAACGGCAATCACGAGCCTCTTGTCCCTTCTTAATGTCTGAGCCTGTCTGTCGATCGTCGCTAACACAGCTTGAACGTTACAACTGCCAAACAATCGGAATGATAGAGTTTATTTTCATTTTTCTTGGACATTTCGTTGACGCGAGACGACGCGATTTAAATAATTTTTTCCTGAAATACATTGGCTTACAAAGTTGACTTTTGAAATGCGCCATTGTATTATAAAATTCTGTCCCCGACGTCTCTGAAATTGAAAATTTCATGCTTTAATGTTGGTGTTAACCTCTTCCGCTGGAATGACGCGCAATGT